AGGTTTCCAAACGGAATCTGTACATGGTGTGCTCCGAAATAAGTTTCCAGACATGATGCGCTCCGAAATAGGTTTCCAGACGGAACTTGTACATGGTGCGCTCCGAAATAAGTTTCCAGACGGAGCTTGTACATGATGCGTTCCGAAATAAGTTTCCAGACATGATGCGCTCCGAAATAGGTTTCCAGACGGAACTTGTGCATGGTGCGCTTCGAAATAGGTTTCCAAACGGAATCTGTACATGGTGTGCTCCGAAATAAGTTTCCAGACATGATGCGCTCCGAAATAGGTTTCCCAAACGGAACCTGTACATGGTGTGCTCCGAAATAAGTTTCCAGACGGAACTTGTACATAGTGCGCTCCATTTGTGTGACTATTCGTAATCGTGAATGAAGGTATCTCTGTCCGAGGTATTCCATCGAAAACTGCTTCTTCATTAATATTAAGCGTTTCAGGGTAATTGTCATTCCGAGATTTCTTCTGCACATGTTCAACATACAAAATCCGATGCTTGAGTGCGATATTTTCTTAATACCAGAGGGCGATAAGAAGGAAATAATTGTCAAAAGATAAGAAAGAGGAAGAGGAGTTGCCTTGATATACGTGTGTGGAGTTGTTGTTATCGAAATAGATTACAGATATTCCACTGGCTGGTTCAATTCTTATATATGAAATCTTATCCAATCAATCACGTTATTGTGAAGAAGTTGGAGATAATAACGAAAATTATATCCCCCCCCACTACCGCAAGGTGCAGGTTATTATATTTCCCCCTTCCAAGATCGACATGGGACAATTCATTGACGAGGGCCGAAACTCCGCAAGATATCCAAACACTGCCGGTGAAGGAGCGTAAACGTAACATCCGGTGTCTCGTAAGTAAACTTCGCCGACGGAAAGTGGTGCTCTGCAAAGGCCGTACCTGAGACCAGGATCGGACAGCAACCATCGGGAACGCACGGCGAAAGCGATCGGGGTACTCCTCCTTAGTGTTACTAGTCCGGAGGATAGCATCGGCTGAAATATCAGTGGCCGAAGGACGAACGTCGCTACTTATATAATCCCCTTCTTTCGTAACGTACGCGGGTCGAGATCAAACACACGCTGATTCGATGAGTCGAACTTTTTCGACAACTGTACACATCACCAAGCCCGAGTCACAGGAGCGTTCTGAGCGCAGCAACAATCTTCCTATCTCCACCCTCGAAATACTTTAAGCGTTCATCCAACGTTTTACTCAAAAGAATGCTCTTGCATTCTTCTTCGTCAGGAAAAAGAATAGCTGGTTTAGCTTTGGTCTGCTCCCACGTCATTTTTGTTAAAAGATTGAATAAAAAGTCTTGCACAATCTGGTTCTAACGCGGAATTTTATATGTAGAGCGTGACCAATGATAATTGATGCGCAGAAATTACATTTTTGCAGTAGCTAATTATAGAATGTTTATCTACTAATTTCATATTTTTGTGATAATAGTTTCTCCACTCCATAACTTAGCCTTAACCAAATGTTTTTTCAACAAATCTCTTGCTTCTTGTCATGTGTCACATAAATCAGTTCTTTATCTTGGAACTCATGATTTATATGATGCGAAACGCATCATATTTTAACAATCTCAACACGCTATTATCCTCAAGGCCTTCGATGGTTCTGCCGGTAAAAATACAACCAATTGAGTAATGCGATTGACATTTCTGCCAGGCCATTTATTTCAGCATAATTCTCGAGAAATTCTTCCCGCTTGTAGTGACGTTTTTATCTGGCCTTTTATCACGGCAATTGCATTTGTCGTCAGATGATTTAACGTATTGAGATACGTTGACAAAGAACCCATGGAAAATTGGACACGTGATGATAATCCAATGATAATAAATGCAACTACAAATATTACTGATAAAAATAAGAGTTATGAATAAAAAAAAATGAGGAGGATAATTAAATGACTGCTGGACTTGTTTCTCTATATTTTTTGATCACAAGTCGGCGTTTATTGGTTTTTCTTTTTTCTTTATCCAGATATTCCTGGAGAGGGTATTATTGATTTTGAAAACATAAGATACAATTTTTTTACCTTCTAAAGATTTTTTTTTCAATAATGTGGAAACGCAACCCAGCGATTACAATCAAGAAGAGAAAGTAAATGTAGCAACAAATCGTAGAAGGAAGCCAATAAAATTTACTGCAAAAGTATTTGATATTAATAATAGGTTTACCAATAAATTATATACTGTAAACACAAAACGTAGAATGTTATCAAAACCTCTAATACATTAGCTTTATTTCCCAAGGCATTGCTCCTAATATTAACGTAGCAATAGGCAAACCAAGTCACTCTCAAACCGAAAATTCTACCGGTCATTTTTAATCTTAACAGGAAAGAAGAACTAATACTTTCTGTTGTTATAAATATTTTACCTTAACGCTAAAAGCGAACATAATAATAATACACGTTACAATTCCTAGCCCACTCGATGACATCATCATCAATGCCCAATCACAAAAAGCTTTCATTCGGGATTAAACGACCTGTTAAATGATACCGTGTTGGACTATCCCCCTTTCTTTCTAAAATATTTCCTTTCAACCTTAAATCGCCAAACTTTATCTATTCGCAAGTCGTTACTCATGTCGACTCCAAGACCATCGCGTGGCAGAGCAAAGCGCACTTCTGTTACTCCAACTCGGCAATCACCAAGGAAAGTACGGCGAGTGCAGTCTTGTCTAAACGCAGTCAATAGACACTTTGTAGCTACGGTTCCTATCCTTGAAGTTACTCTACGGTTCGACGAAGATGAATACGACGTGTGGCGAAGGCAGGATACGGATGAAGTCAATTTGTATTATTTGTTACGTATTAAATATCCTAAAGATGCAGACGAAGCAACATGGCAACATGAACTGGAAAAGTTGAAGAAAGAAATTGGTCAAGTGCGAGTCGTGAATGAAGGATGGTTTGAGGGCGTATGGTGAGTAGCATTATGGGAGGTGGCGACGGAGAGAAGTTGGGGGCGATCTGATTTCACGAAAATGTCGATGCTGTTGGAAACCAAGGATCAATGGATTAATGATTATTTTTCACCAATATTAATACTATTTACTGGTCTTGCTTGACTAGGATTTCACTGGAGAAAGGTAGAAGAGCACAATCCTGATTAGTACTATTAACATAAATGAGTCATAGATTTACGTCAGATTAATGCGTTCATCAATTATTTCATATTTAGCAAAAGAAATAGCTCGCAGATATGATATATACGACCTCGTTGCAGAACTCTTAGAGACAGAGAACAGTTGGTTTGACTCGCCAAAAAATAAACCAAAAGTCAAGGTACGAAAAGCTGATATTGAACAAGATGCTTGAGACGTATTTGTATAAATACTGTAGACGAAGACAAGAGACACGCGTACATGGTTAAACCACTCTCAACTGCTTGGTAATTTACACTTGTTCATTTAACGTATTTACTCACACGGTAATTCGTATCGTTTTACCATTTTTCCTCCATTCATCCTCACTCTCCCCACTTGCATTTCCGAACACCCAACAATACACCAGCCCGTATACACGACGGACAAGGACTCTCAAGATACTCAAAACGCAATACCTCCATCGGATCCGATCATACCCAATGGTGAATCTCCACCCAATAAAAATTACGAGAAAAAACCATGCTCTCATCGAACAGTGACAGAACAATCCGACGCATCAGATCAATCAGAATATAAAACCCAAATCACAATACTTAAAAAAAAACTAGACGAGTCAGAGCAGTTTCTACAACCATCACAATCAAAGAAGAGGAGACTATATTGGACGGCAGGTGGGTTTGCGGTAGGGGCAGTTGCCGCGACAGCAGTTGGACTGCTTGCCGGTGAGGATATGAGGGAGGTATTGAACGGATTGAGCGAGGGTGTTAGTGGAATGGTCAACTTTTGACAAACGTTAGAATAATCGACCATAGAACGTGGGAAACCTGTCTAATGACCGATATCCAGACGTCCGATCAAAAGCGTTGGCCACTAGAAAGAAGTAGGGAGCAGCTAAACTTTCGTTCTTATTGGTTACTTGGTAAAGATTCTACTCGTAATTCATTTTATAAATAGCTTATAATAGATATAATACATACCAAATAAATACAATATTTTAAGCCAGAACAAGTGGTTAGCCAAAGAATTTAATTCTATATAGGCTTCTTTAACCAAACCCAAGAGGGTTCTATTTTACACATCAAGGGAGTCTATCTCTGTAGGTTCTTTCTTTCTTGTTATCTTCATTAATGTCCTTGCTAATACCATTAAATAGCTTTTTATAATAATAGAGCGAGACAATCAGGACATTTTTACCGGCGGTTAATAAAATACAAGTTGGTAGTTTTCGGATATCAGTGCTGTGCATTTTATGCGCGCCATTTACGCGTCATTAATAAACGATTTGATTGGTCACATCTTTTTATAAGATGCAAGTGTGCTTGATATGGCCTTTACACGTTGTATTCAACAGACAGGTATTTAAATTAACGTCTAAAACGTAATATACGATTAATTGAATAGATCGTAAAAGCTTTCGTGTTGACAAGAAATTCTAGTCGAAAACTATTACTATATCGCATTCTGCAATGGTAATATGTATTTCTAAATTAGGCATGCAGAAGGAACACAGACACTATACAACCGTTTCCCATAGTTAAGACTGGTCGGGCGTTTTCTTAATCGCTGTTATTGACAAGATGTCGTTCAATCCATTAGATGCGTTGCAGCCAATGGAAATATTCTTGCCATTATGCAAGCATCAAGATCAGGGGTCTTGTGAGTCTTGCCAACTGGCAGACAGAATGGTGTGTAGTCTCAGAGGACAACCAATCCCTCATTATACAGTCGACCAACTTTTCGGTAGCAATATCTCACCAACAATGAGATCAATGAATCCATTCATTATTTATCGTAAAGCGCTTGCTCGATATCTTCATGAAATCAATCAAGTTGACAAACTTATAAACGGAAAAATGATAAGCTTGATAGCTACAAAGCTTTGGGCACATATGGATGACGGACAGAAGAAAAGATATTGATCTATCGGAATACTCGTCCGGAAACATAACAACCGACAAACTTAGAGATTAAGATTGAGGTTTTCCTTACCCAATAATAATAACAGATGTTTTCGCCAACAAGAGATGATAATGACCATACAACACAAGAAGCTGAGAAATGGTCATAGAAACCAGTGTTTGAATATCGATATTCTTTATAGCAGAAAATAGATTTACATAAATGTGTTATGTCAATTCACGACACTTTTAATTATTTAAAATTATGAAATTACATCATAACAGTGGGCAGCAAGTTAAACACGGAGCAATTAATGCACAACTTTAATAAGTAGAAGTAATGGTGACAACGACACATTTCATATACATATTAAATTTATTTGACTCAATACTCTTTTTATACAAATATACTTAAATTTACCACAGGCTAAATATAAGAAGTGCCGTAGAACCTTGCCAGTAATCACCGCTAATATTATATTTACTTTTGGTTGACGAACCAACAGGTTACAAAGTCTTCAGGAAACACCACGATTTCGGTCTTGTTAAAACCATTCTCTTTCAACATCTTCTGCGCGACCTCTGTTCCCCAAACCGCACCCAGACCTAAACCGCCTTCTGATAAAGAGATTGTCATAGTACGCAAAAGACTATCGGCATACAATGCGGGACCATAAACCTGATTCACATTCTTCTCAACGTCGCATGAAAAGTTGACATCTTGCATCACAAACAGCCCATCACCTTTCAACGCACGATTAGCACCCTTCAATGCACCTACTGGATCAGCTAGATGATGAATGACGTCCATTGCCAAGATCACATCGTATTCACCGACCTCTTCCAATTTTGAGATGTTTTGCACATGGAAAGAGACATTAGCAAGACCGAGAGACGCCACGTCAGCATTGGCATCGGCTATCAGCTTAGATGAGTAGTCGTACCCACGGAAAGTGCAACCTGGATACCGTTTGGCAAGATCAAGCATAACAAAGCCGCGTCCACAACCAATGTCGAGTACTTTGCTTCCTTTCTTGAGTTTATCGAGCAGTCCAGGAATACCAGGGACAACCATTTCCTGCATCACAGGGACAATGAGAGCGCTGCTTTTTTCGGCCAATACTTCGTCGACTCGATGGTATGCCTCGTGCGGTACTCCACCTCCATTCTTGAAGCATTCCAAAATACGATCTTCCACAGACCCGAGTAACGAGATCCATTGACCAAAGATAGCCACGTTCTTAGGCCCTGATTCTCTGACCATGAATGCGGCATGATCTTTAGGAAGTCTGTAAGTCTTTGATTCACTGTTGTATTCGATGATTCCTCCAACTACCATGGCCCCCAACCATTCCCTGACGTAGCGTTCGTTGAGTTTGGCTTTGTCCGCGAGCGCTTGCGACGAGACAAATTCTGGATAGAATGTCGAAATTGCATCATAGAGACCCGCACGATGGCCGACGGAGATCATTAGACAGAGTGCGCCATCATTGAGGGTTTTGACGAGTTTCGTGGCGAAAGCTTTGGCTGGATCGGGTGTTGCTTGAGCTTCAGTAGACATTTTGATCAAGTGTTTTGATTAAAATTACTTCGAATGTTGTAGTAGTAATAGTAGCTGTTGTCGTGTGTTATTGTAGTTGTCATGGTGGTGGTTGATGACCCTCTATTTATAAGCGTGCGAATGTCCTGGATACAACACTACACTTGTTCCTATGCCTGTTTTTTGTCGCTTGAGAAATGCGAGCACCATTGACTTAATTTTTCAAAGCCATTGTTCATAGTATTTGCTGAAATTGGTTTTGTTTGTTTGACTGACATCACGCATCTGCCTAGTCTGTTTTTGGTATTTAGAAAGGTTTATCCTGGCCCGGATGGCCCGCGGCGATAAACTATGTCTAATATGGCTAGTAAATTTTGGGATCGACGGCATGAGGTACACTTAGACTTGTGTACTACTCGAATGCATTCTCTATAGAAGTTGTCCATTATAATATTAAACACAATCTTTTATGCAACATAATATCTTGCCGAAGGGTGGGAACACGGATCTTTATCTAGGCTTTATAGTGTTAAAAGCAAAAGACATGGTTCAAAATTACGTTCTCGTCCACTCATCAAGTCTTAATACTTGGAAACTGAATTTTACCGGAACTAAGCATGTAAATGGCTTCGAAATGTGTTATTCTACCTGTGAAGCGTTCCTACCTACTGCATGTTTTAAAATGATGCCCATTCGACACTTTAACAAACGACTGTTACAATCGGCAAACAAAAAAGGAAAATATAATCAATACCAAATTTTGGCGATTCTACAGTCACATTGGGGGTAAAAATCTTCCGCGGACCCGCAATCCCAGCATCACACAAATTGAACGATTCAATCTACCAAATAGAGCAAACTTAATAACATAGCTGTATCGCGCGTACTTTCGAGACCGCAACAAACAGGTTTATGACAAACGATTATATCAGCACAGGACAACACTTATAAAATGAAGGTCGCCCACACCATACTGGCATAACAACGACAACCACATTTCGAGTAACAAACTTTAGCACTTATCAAGATGTCTACCGAAACTCAAGCAACGCCCGATCCATCCCTAATTTTCGGCATGAACCTAATCAAAACACTCAACAATGGCGCACTATGTCTAATGATATCCATTGGCCATCGCATCGGGCTTTTTGATACGCTTGCAACATTATATCCAGAATACGTCTCTTCACAAACACTTGCCGAAAAAGCCAATCTCAACGAACGCTACGTCAGGGAATGGTTAGGAGGCATGGTAGTCGGGGGAATTATCGAATACGACAGTGAATCCAAGACTTACAGATTTCCTCAAGAACATGCCGCATTCATGACTAGAGCAGTAGGAATTAAAAACATGTGCCTCTTTTCCGAATGGTTCCCGATACTTGGATCCTTTGAAGATGACATTTTGGAATGCTTTAAGAATGGTGGCGGGTTGCCGACTAAAGCATATGGACGACTCCATGAAGTGATTGCCGAGAGAAGCAGTTTAACCGTTACTATGTTGCAAAGTACTATTCTCCCGGGCCTTCCTGGATTACTTGATAAACTCGGGCAAGGATGCAGCGTACTCGAAATTGGTTGTGGACGCGGCCTCGTTAGTCTTGATCTTGCCAAGCACTTTCCGAATTGTACATTCCGCGGATACGATATCTTGGATAATTTGATGGCCGATGCCAATGCTGACGCAGCGTCTTCTGGTCTTACTAATGTCTCCTTCCATGTTCAGGATGTTTCCAAAATGCAAGACGTCAGCAAGTATGATGTTATTATTGGTCTTGATGCTATGCACGATCTAGCTGAGCCGGCGGACGCATTAGGATGTGTACATCGTGCATTGAAAGCTGATGGAATATATGCGATGTATGATGTTAATGCCTCGAGTGATCTTGAGAAGAACATAAGCCATATTCTTGGTCCTGCTGTGTATACCGCGAGCTCATTCCATTGTGTGTCGGTATCTTTAGCAGACGGTGGAAAAGGGCTGGGGGCCTGTTGGGGAAAGGAACTTGCTTCGAAGATGATAAAAGAGGCTGGTTTCAGCAAGACAGAGATCGTCCAGTTTCCTCATGATGCACTGAGTTGTTGGTTTGTGAATAGGAAGTAAAAGCATGAAAGTGACAATTAAAGAATTGATAGTGCGTTAGCAATTAGCAATACATTAGGGTGTATTACCTAGTTATAATGAAATACCTTGGTGTTATAAATAAAACAAATATTTTTATCCAATACAAGCTCTGAAAAACTGCTTTAATATGAAGAAGCCGCTAGTTATTAAGTTACACGCCTTAGGAATTTATTCACAAGAATTAGAATATGGACGAGAAAATACGTATTACTGTTATTATTGCGACTAGATTGCTATCACCACATAACGAATGTTCATTTAAACGTAACCCGTATTATATCTTCTTTTTTCCTCCATGTAGGTAATATTAATATAGTAGGTTCCATCAAATTAATTATCTAACGATCAATTGTAAATAATCTTTCTCGTCGCGAGAATGATAATGACAAACTTGACAAGGACTGCTTTATTGAATAAATTGCATGTAATAAACTTCAAGACGAATAATCAGGCAAGTCTTGTATATTTTGGGAAAATTGTTTCGGCAGACAAGTTGTTGGGTATGTCTTTGTACCAATAAAACGGCAATACATAATACATTCGAATTGATCGTTACTTTCAAGTTATAGGTCTTAGCAAGTGCTACGTTTACAATAGGAAACATGCGCCAGGTTTTACGAAGAAACGCGAATCTTTACATTGGCGAGCCAATTACATGTTGCTGCGTCTTTCTCTTTAAAAAACCAGTGAATTATCATGTATTGAAACGTCAAATATGTGCGCAACGTTATTTAAAGCATAATTTTATTGGTTAATAGACCTTGCGAAGATTATTAATATGTTTATTTATGTGGCCTGATTTATGTGGCCTGATTTATGTGGACTGATTTATGTGGCCTGATTTATGTGGACTGATTTATGTGGCCTGATTTATGTGGCCTGATTTATGTGGCCTGATTTATGTGGCCTGATTTATGTGGCCTGATTTATGTGGACTGATTTATGTGGCGACTGATTTATGTGGCCTGAATTTATTAATATTAAAAGTGGCATGATATTCAATTGGTAGCACAGATTATATAAATAGAAATGGCATGATATTTATACTGATATACAATAAGGGAAATCCGTCCAGGAAAAGCTGGGATATTAATATAGCCGAGGTTGGGATACAATGCCATTACGCGTTTCTCAAGGTTATAAATAAGGTTGCATTTGCTGTAAATAACTTCAACATTTATCAAAATGTCTACCGAAGCTCAAGCAACGCCCGGTCCAGCCCAATCTTTCGCCATGAAACTCATCAAAACATTCAACAATGGCGCACTATGTCTAATGATATCAATTGGCCATCGCACTGGACTCTTTGATACGCTTGCAACATTCTATCCAGAATACGTCTCTTCACAAACACTTGCCCAAAAATCCAATCTCAACGAACGCTACGTCAGAGAATGGTTAGGAGGCATGGTAGTCGGGGGAATTATCGAATACGACAATGAATCCAAAACTTATAGACTTCCTAAAGAACATGCCGCATACTTGACAAGAGCAGCGGGAATTAGAAACATGGGTATCTTGGCCGAGTGGGTCCCGATACTTGGATCCTTTGAAGATAATATTTTGGAATGCTTTAAGAATGGTGGCGGAGTGCCGACTAAAGCATATGGGCGACTATATGAAGTGCTTACCGAGAGAGGCCGGTTAAGCCTTTCTTTGTTGCATAGTAGTGTTCTCCCGGGCCTTCCTGGATTACTTGATAAACTCGGGCAAGGATGCAATGTACTCGAAATTGGTTGTGGACGCGGCCTCGTTAGTCTTGATTTTGCCAAGCACTTTCCGAATTGTACATTCCGCGGATACGATATCTTGGATAATTTGATAGCCGATGCCAACGCTGACGCAGCGTCTTCTGGTCTTACTAATGTCTTCTTCCATGTTCAGGATGTTTCCAAGATGGAAGAAGTCAGCAAGTATGATGTTGTTATTGGTCTTGATGCTATACATGATCTAGCTGAGCCGGCGAACGCATTAAAATGTATATATCGTGCATTGAAAGATGATGGAATATATGCGATGTTGGATATGAATGCCTCGAGTGATCTTGAGAAGAACAAAACTCATCTTTTTGGTCCTGCTATGTATGCCGGAAGCTTATTCCATTGTGTGTCGGTATCTTTAGCAAATGGTGGAGAAGGTCTGGGAGCCTGTTGGGGAAAGGAACTTGCTTTAAAGATGATAAAAGAGGTTGGTTTCAGCAAAACAGAGATTATCCAGCTCCGTCATGATTCGATGAATTGCTGGTTTGTGAGTAGGAAGTACAGTCGAAGCTCGTTATAATAAAAAGTTGGGCACAACCCATGAACTCTCTTATAGCACGAATTCCATAATAACGTGTATGATTGTTATAGTAGACTTCTTAGTGATTGCACGTGTAAATCCATTATAGCGTAAAATTTATTCCTTTTTGATACAAAATTCACCCAAAAATTTAATCGTTAGTAATGAATCTTTTGATATGTCACAGAATCTGAAATAAAACTATCCAGCCGCAACTGTTTTTTTTTTATTGAAAACCATGCAGATCTACTTAATTGAGCGAAACGCAAGTATTTCGGAAAATTCTAAGTTGATGGTGTGGGTTTTTTCTCCTCGTCAAGGCATAGTTGACGTTTATGTGCATTTGTTAAAGATTTCCTTTTAATAGACTCGGTGTTAGACATTTTCTATAAACTAAGCGCTTTAGATGCTAAATATCCGGTTTATATCCTATTTAACCAACCTATCCATTAATATTGAATTGGATTCCTATTAGCTGAAGCACTATTCCATTATAGTGCGACTAATTGTGAATATTATAACTAATAACGCGAGTTACTATGAAAACTATTATAACGAGCAATTTTTAATATATGAAAATCGGAACCAAAAAAAAAGTTCTCTTACAAAACGATTCTATTATAACGTAGTTCTATTATAACGAGCTTTGACTGTAAAAACAATAAATAATATTAGTTGAAAGTGCTTAGCAACACATTACTGTTAAATAAAATAAATTAATTTTTGACAACGATGATTTATTAAATATTAATTTAATTATTCTCAGACGAGAACAAGAACAGACTTGATATGATACTCGCTTATGAGTACCAACCACAAATTATGATTATCACATTAATAACGGCAAACGTTGATCAATTAATCTCACTCGGTCACGATCAAAATTAATAGCACGGGATAAAAATGAATAAGCTGCACGTAATAGGCAATATTAATATTCTTTGGAGAAAAAAAACTTCAAAACGTGTAATCAGCCAAGTCTTGTATATCTTCGGGACAAGATCCAATTCGGCAGGCAAGCCTTAGTAAGTTCTAATCTATAATTGAAACTTTATGTCACGTTGGTGACTGAATAGCGTCAATTAATTGTATATTAATGTTTATTGGCCTGTCCTGAGGTGACTCAAAGCAGGAAATCAGGTATTCAGGTATTAGATGTGTCGATCTTCCATTGAAATGGTAATTAAAATAGTGCAACACAGCCCACATATGCAAAAAGGAAATTTAAAAGTCTATTGATCACAAAGACCGTAACGAGTCGAAATTTGCCCGCGGGCCATGCGGAGCCGATTAATATTAACTGATTAAACCGGACAAACTTCGAGTACAATACGAGTATGGCAAATACTATGAACTTGCCTGGAAAATTTAAAAACGCAATGTCATCACGCGTTTCTCAGACAGACAGCGAGCAAGGTTATAAATAAGTTCATCAACAATCACGTTCCAAGCAAATAAACTTTAATATCTATCAAAATGTCTACCGAAGCTCAAGCAATGCCCGATCCATCCCTAATTTTCGGTATGAACCTAATCAAAACACTCAACAACGGCGCACTATGTCTAATGATATCCATTGGCCATCGCACTGGACTCTTTGATACGCTTGCAACATTCTATCCAGAATACGTCTCTTCGCAAACACTTGCCGAAAAAGCCAATCTCAACGAACGCTACGTCAGGGAATGGTTAGGAGGCATGGTAGTTGGAGAAATCATCGAATACGACAGTGAATTAAAGAGTTATAGACTCCCTCAAGAACATGCCTTATTATTGACCAGAGCCGCTGTAGGCAAGAACATGGCTATCTTGTCCGAATGGGTTTCAAGCCTTGCATGCTTTGAAGACGGTGTTTTGGAATGCTTTAGAAATGGTGGTGGATTGCATAATGAAACTTTCTATCGAATCCATGAAATAATCGCCGAGAGAACCGAGTTGATTGCTCCTGAATTGCATTCCACCATTCTTCCTTGTATTCCCGGATTACTTGATTCGCTTGAGAAAGGATGTAAAGCACTTGATATTGGCTGTGGACGGGGCTTTGTTATTCTTGATTTTGCAAAACGGTTTCCGAATAGCACGTTCTACGGATATGATATTTTACCTAAATTGGTAGCCGATGCCAATGCCGATGTAGCGTCTTCTGGTCTTACGAATGTTTCTTTTCGCGTGCAAGATGTTTCAAAGATTGAGGAAGTCAATGAATACGACGTTATTATTTGTATGGAAAGTATTCATGTTCTAGTCGACCCGATAAATGCATTGAAATGTGTTCATCGTGCTTTAAAGGAGAATGGCGTGTTTGCACTGTTGCAAGTCAATGCATCGAGTGAGCTTGAGAACAATAAGACTCTTGCCTTTGGTCCTGCATTGTATTCTATAAGCGCTATACATACTCTGAGCGTCTCTTTGGCAGAAGGTGGAATGGGTCTGGGAGCTTGTTGGGGAAACGAAAGTACTTTGAAGACATTAAAGGATGTGGGTTTCAATAAGACCGACGTTATTCAGTTACCGAATGAATTACTTCCTCGTTGGTTTGTCAGTAGAAAGCAAAATTAACAATATGTATTGGTACAAATTCGAAATCTTAGTAAATATTCGGTTGCTTATAGCTTGAAGAGTATATTGTCTGTTAGAGAACTGTAATTCTCAAGATATTATCAAGTCATTTTGGTAACGTTAAAGGTGTTAAAGTATCAATGCATAGCAATAAACTACTAACTATCAAACTTACGACTAAAAGTGGTTGAGGGAGAATAAGATTTCTCGTAACTAAAATCGTTATTGGCTGCTATTTTAATTCTTCTCCGCTGTTGAAGCTGAACAGAAATGTCTATTGCTTACAGATGTTAATTAAGCCGGATAGTAGAACTAATTAACATAACTCTTATGCTGCATTCAACTTCTTCGCAAGCTGTATATGAGATAAATAAGATAATGAGTATTCGATCAACAATTATTAATTTATAACATGGTAACATGGTGAGAAAACATAATAAGCCTAAAACAAGTCAGGGTGTCCACGTGGTAGATCTTTAAACGTGACGATCAATATTCACAACATGAACGCTTTATTGAACTTCGCAAATATCTAGTAAATAATTATAATTTCCGATATAAGGCAGACTATTTAATACCAAGCCTGTCTATTCTTGTTTCCTATTGATATACCAGCAATTCTGAACATCATGAGGAAACTCGACAATATCTGTCTTATTGAACCCGTTCTCCTTTAACATTTTCAGAGCAAGCTCCCGCCCCCAACAAGTTCCCAATCCCATTCCGTTGTGTGCCAAAGAGACCGTCATACAATGCATTGTGCTAATAGTATACAATAAAGGACCCAAAGGATGAGAGACGTTCTTTTCAAGGTCACTTGAAGTATTAATGTCTTGCATCACAAACATTCCATCATTCTTCAATGCACGATTGATCTGCTTTAACACTCCCACTGGGTCAACTTGATCGTGAATGGCATCAAAAGCGGTAATAACATCGTATTCATCCGCTTCTTCTATCTTAGAGACATCTTTTACGTGAAACGAAATATTAGCAAGACCGCTTGAATTTGCTTCAGCATTAGCAATGGCCATTGACTCGACCGAAATATCATATCCCCGAAAAGTGCTATTCGGAAAATGATTGGCTAAATTAAGAATAATGCGACCGCGTCCACAACCAACGTCGAGCAATTTACATCCTTTCTCAAGTCTATCAAGTAGTCCGGGAATGCCCGGGAGAATGACACTATGCAAAGCGGATCCAGTAGATTGATAACTATCTTCTGCCATAACTTCCTGGAATCGAGGAAATGCCTCGTACGGTAACCCACCACCATTTTTAAAGCATTTAAAAATACCGTCTTCAACTGATCCAAGAATCGAAATGTATTGAACAAAGACCGCCATGTTACCGGGTCCAGCTTCCCTGGTGATGCATGCAGCGTGTTCCTTGGGAAGTCTATAACTCTTTGATTCACTGTCGTATTCGATAATTTTCCCAACTACCATGGCTCCTAACCACTCCCTGACATAGCGTTCGTTGAGATTGGCTTTTTGAGCAAGTGTTTGTGAAGAGACGTATTCTGGATAGAATGGCGCAAGTGTATCAAAGAGTCCAGTGCGATGGCCAATGGATATCATTAGACATAGCGCGCCATTGTTGAGTATTTCAACGAGTTTCATGGCGAAAGATTGGGCCTGATCTGGTGCTTCCATGGATATTGTTGAGATGTTAATCGTCTTATTCGCTTTGAATGCTGTTGATGTGGTCGATATTTCTCCTTGACCTTTATTTATACCTTGGTTACTTCCCATCAGTGCTGCGCTCTTCACGCGACTTCAAGAGGCGGTGTCTTGCACCAACTACATTAGTAAATTTAGATTGAATGATGTAACGCAATTTTCGGCATCAGCAGCGGTGTTAACCTTTTTTTAGCAGCGGGTGACGGAAAATTGTAGCAGCGAGGAAACTTCTAATCAGAAGAATAAGCTCTTCGACTTGAATTGTACACTTCATGTATGTTATTAGAGGAAGGCGACACGGATGCGGTCGATAATCTAAAGATATTGCGCTTGCAACAAAATTTACTATATCGTTCGCACTCCCAAGTATACACATACATAGAACTATCAAAAGTTATAACCATTGTATAACGTACTAAATAGCAAACTGTCATTTATTAGGTCTTGTTCAATAAATATCTAGTAAGAGTATGCTCCTACAGCTCTCTTCAATTACATGATTATATACAAATCGTCTATCGCTTCTATGCCCAACTCAGATTTTTCCTTGAGCTTTTAACACGGCAGGGACTAGAGAGAATAAATAACACAGAGAGAAAAGAGCGAATTAATGAACTGCGTACGACGGCAGGTTACATAGAAAGTTAGTGTCAGTAATACTCACTAATGATTGCAGCAAGGATTGCGATTATGGTAATCGTTAAGATAATAGTCATTTTCGTATTCTTCCACCACATCTTCTTTTTAACTTTTTTAGATGTAGATACGAAAGCTTCGGCACTCCCATGAAGCATTGCTGTCGTCAAAGGATGGGTGAAGTAAACAAGATTAGAAACACATCTTTTCACTCTTTTTAGAAAACTTGTGTGTTTTCCTGTTTCCCTCTAGCCTGACTATTTGTCTTCTTCTGGGCTATCCAATATCTAATTACCTGTCTGTTCCTCCAAAACCCTCAACTTCTGTCCTTCTGCGGCTAACGCTTGGATCGTTTCTTGCAATTGGCCTTTGGTACTGTCAATCTGTTGTTGAACAGCCAATATCTTTGCATTACCACTCTTATTATTGACTTGACTCATCTCAACCTGAGACGAGTTCTTGGATTGATAAGGGTCATATAGCTCATTATTAGACCTAATTGTAAAGTAAATGTTAATTAATTAACCACTAACAAAAGAAACAACTGAAAGGATAATTAGAGATGAATTGAGACATCATATTTACATTATGGGATAAACAGGTTCAAGAAAATAAAAATGTAATGTTAGAGAAGAGTCGTCAAGACGGGATATTAATACAGGCAATTGTCAAGAAAAAAGCCAGTTATCAAAGCCAGCAGCCGAAACCCGCCTCTCTATCTTGAGGGGGAGGCTATGCAAAGCTGGTTGCATTTCTGCCGTCCTACAATCTAAGCCCCTCATTTAAGAACTAGGTTTCAAAGTAAATCTTAAAAATAATAATTGAATTGGCATTCTATTGTTATAGCGAAAAAAATTAGCTTCTTTACTATATTTAGCGGCAGATGATTTTTTAATAGTTCTGCATGGGGATTGGATGGGGATTGGATGACTAACTCTTGTGACTACATATGCTATAAAAACGAATTATTTTACGTCATCATACTTATGTTCTCTTACCGTTCGTCTCGATGGCTCATGCGAACTCTGACAAACTAAATAAGGAGACAATGAACGAAATAGAACATGGTCCGCCAGAGTATGTAAAATTAGTGTCAGCAGATGGATTCACATTTATCGTCGAAAAGAATGCAGCAGTCATATCGCAGACTCTCAAAAACATGTTATCAAATCCCGGTTAGTGTGTGTGCCAAGTGTAGATTGAAAGGATTGTTCTGACGCCGCATACTCTGAACTAATATGGAATTTTGGTGAACGAACAGCCCAATTGATCGAGTCTGAACAGAATGAGATTTATTTCAGGGGCATAACGTACGTTATTTTTATCTCTTAATACGTTGTTTTGTACAGTTTCAATGCTGTCTCTTACAAAGACCATCTTGACATTTATTTTAGAGCAAGAATCCTTGAACACGTCTGTCGATACATGTATTATAATGCTCGATATAAGGATGCTTCTACGGAAATTCCAGAATTTGTTTTGGAACCTGAACTTGCTTATGAAGTATTCATGGCTGCCGATTTTCTCAAAGTTTAAAAATAGAAAAATCGATTGCATAGAATGAAAGCTCTCTATCGCTGTAAATAGCCATAATGACAACAATGGAGCTTTCGGTATTTCACAAAACTTAGTTTATGTTGAACAGTCTCGTATTCATCCTCGTCCTTTCTTTCATCCCTGCATATGCGTTTCTAATATCTCTCACAAAGTCCTGAACTTCATGTCCGCCTGGACAATCATACCAATCACCATCCTTAATACATCTTTGTTTCCCGTTAAGATGTATCGTACAACTTTTCGTAACTCCTTTAGCGTTTGTCTTTCTGATGCTCTCGATTAACAACTGACGGCCTTGTGTTCTAACACACTGTTCGATGGGAGTATAGTCAACGTTGACCTTTAATGCACAAGAACGAGAGTACTCAAGATCTCCCTTTTGTAAGAGGTCGCGATTGAGACAACTTAGCCAATCGATAAACTTGGTCTGTTTGGTGGGGAGATAATTTGCTTCAAAGCAGAGCTCGTGGATATTACCTTTGAGAAAAAAAAAACAACAACGAATGAGTTGGTAAAGAGAAAAGAAGTCGCAAGAATATATATATTTAAATGCGCCATACACAACTCTCGAGCTCTTGTTTTAGCACTCTCTTTTTCTTCACACCCTTCCTTACCTAAACACTCTTGATCTCCATGCTTACACGCCACACCATATTTCGCATTAGGGTCCAGAACACCAATATAATCGTTCCTTATTACCGCTATGTCATTGACTTCACTCATCACTGAGTGAAATACTCGTTCACATTCTTCTGCATCGGGACACTGGCTCATTACATACAGCTCGACAGAGACCTTGGAAGCATCTGTATTTGGGTCATTGGAAGAGTATTGGAGCGTAAGGTATATTAAAACAATTGTCAGGATACTTATTAAAACTCGAACTCGAGTGCGTGACATTTGTGAAGCGTTTGTAAGGAAGAACAAACGGACAGCGATTCAGAAAGACCTAATACACACCGTTTCAAAAGTGATTGCGATGATCAGCAAAATCACCATACTTTTGGCTAGTGTAAGTGATTCGATCAATTTCTAATTGCACACATTAAACATATCGTTTATAGCATAAATGGCGATGAAATTTGCCCATTATCGGAACATTCTATTAAATTGGGAATCCACTTGGCTAGGTATCGGTATGATTGCTGTCAAGCCAAAAGCTGAAGGATCTGTGGCTTAGTGTGATGCCATCTCCTGGAACGTGGCGAATTATTTGTAACTTTATTTAAAGAATAAGCCCTTTTCTTTCTCGCGCACTTTATACTGTTACGATTTCAGGCGCGCTTTTTTCGCCACAAACCATGTCTTTATCGTATAATATTTTCAATTTTTACACTGCGCATAGCCACGTTATTAATAAAAATCCCTCAACACTGGGTAAACAGCGTAATGTTAAATAGAAAAATAGACAGAGCACACATAACAAGTTGAAACGCTAAGAATTCTGGGTTAGCCTAAAGCAGCCGTTATAAAAGATTGGTGTCAAATAGACCTATTCAGAGCTTTAATAATATTAAAGAAACCTTTAGCGGCATGCCAATGAGCATTGCTAGTTACTGATGTATTGTTTTAAAAATTGCCCAAATTCAGTGTCTTTTCTGTACGCATTCCCGATAGAATGTGACAAGTTAAACACAGTATTTGTCATATAGATATATAGTGAATAGATTGTAGTTGTGACATACTTGTGCTGTCTGGCGGCTAAGACTAGAAAAGCCGGTCTGACTATAATTACACCATTTTACCGTGTTAGTTCATATTGAACAAAAAGAGTCCACTAAGTTCAGGCTAAAGTCACAAATATTTATACAATCTGCCTATAAAGTATAGTTGATGTTACTCATTCTTGAAAAATGTACACGACATCACGAGTTTGAATATCATTTCCCCTTTTAATAGAGAGTGGATTCCAAAGTAAACGGAGATCTTTCATTACTTCTCACAACTATCACAACTAGACCTTGTATATGCAGGATCAACAAGCACGCGACCGTAGTATCTGCATTCAGCTTCACCTTAACGAAGTCCATGATGCACTTGAACGTCGAAAAGGAAAAGGTGTCCATAAGTCGGATTCAGAGTATGCCTTGGAATTACACCAAGACGAATTACGCAAATACAATATAACAATTAAAGATAGGGCTATTGTGAAAAGTATACAAAGGGCGGTAGACACGGATATGGCGATTATAGAGAGATTTAGACGGTTAGAATTGCAAGAAGCCGCAGATAGAAGACTTGCCCTACAATTGTCGAGGGGAGAGGACGGTTTTAATCATCATGCTGATGAATATGAAGAGCCTGACCAAAACGAATATTATACAGGCATGCCAAGAAACCAATATTATACAGGCATTCCAGAAAACAATATTTATATAGGCGAGCCTTCATCTTCTACATCGGAATTTCCCAAACGGATATCCCCCGCGCCTTCATCCGTGTCATCCTCTCCACCTGACTCAACCTGGATCTCTTCGTATCTAACCCCCAGCGACGGCGGCCCTTCGTCTGCAGCACCACGCACCAAAACCCAATTGAAACAATGCAACTGTTGCTTTGAACGCCGCGAAACCCACTCTCTCACCTGTATGCACAACTTTTGTTATCCTTGCCTTCGTCAACTATTTGTAAAAGCCACCACCGATGAAACTTTAATGCCCGTTAGATGCTGTGGCGAAGAGATTTCTATTGATGTAGCGGAGAGGGTTCTGAATGATGCCGAGTTGCAAGCGCATCTGATGAAGAGATTGGAAGTGACAACTGAAGACAAGTTGTACTGTCCTAACCCGCTCTGTAGTAGATTCATACCAATTAGTGATGTCACGGTAGATGTTATTTTATGTCCGGCTTGCGATTCCCAGATCTGTTCCGACTGTGGGAATTATGTGCATAGGTGTGTTTTGATAAGAATGAGTGCACTAGGGTTAGGAGACGTATTCGAGTTTCTTTTCTGTCGCGACTATTGCTGTCTTGTTTGATGGTTGTTTAGCGAGATAGGTAGAAAATTTGTTCGGGAGTGAGCTATTAGATACTGCATAGTGTAATTTATAGTTAACCTTTTTTTGTTCGTTGTCTATTAGCGGTGCATGTCCCGAAGATCCCGAAGATGCCCAAATACGAGAACTGGCCATACAGGAGAAATGGCAACAATGTCATCGATGTCACCGTATTGTCGATTTGTATTATGGTTGCAATCACATGGTATGTTGCATGCTATATGAAACTGCATCCAATCATGTCAGTTTCTAATCACCAGCCTACTTTCGTCAACAAATCTTTGTCACTTTTTTATAGACATGCATTTGTAGAAACGAATTCTGTTACGAATGTGGTGAATCTTGGAAATCATGCGACTGTCCGATATGGGACGAAGAACGACTGATTCTCACTGCCACAAAGAGGGTTCAACAAGCGCAGGTGAGCAAATGGGAATAGGGTAGAAGGATTTAGTGTGAGGTTTATAGAGGCAGGTTTACGACATATTTAATGATCTTGTAAATCCCATTTCAATTATTCCCATAGCCATACCTTCGCGGCCACTACTTCGATAATGCAGTAGACGACTACCGCCGAAGACTTGAAGTAGAGCATATTTGTCGGCACCAATGGACACATATACAATTGGATCAGACTCAGCAGTGTGCAAATTGCTGGTTCGTGCTGAAAAATTATACCTACGAATGCAGGGATTGTCTCCTCAGAGTTTGTTTTACAGTAAGTGTTCATTTGATGCGACATTGATCAAAGGTCATAACTCGTTATAAGACGCACTAACTCTCGCTTCGGTTTTCAGTGTCGGTACCATCGTATTCCTCATGAAGAGTAAATGTGTGAAGATTCTATTATTGCTTTATTTGTAGATATATTCATAATCCACCTAGTTTATGTATCGAAAAATGGACATTGCAAATGCAGTATTAGCTAATGCAAGGGAATACTCAATCCCGAGAATTATGTATTTAATAGTTGGCTTGTCCTATACAAAGTAATTACACGATGTTTATTACGAGAAGTAAGCCGTGTGTGGACACAACAGAATGAGAAGACACCAGTACATATGTATGAAGACATTGGTCAGAGACAGTTCAATATTGAGACTGTTCTCCCTCTCGATACGAATGTCTAACCGATGTCTTCAGACAGCTGTCACCCGAATGCCTTTCAACTTTATACCTCCAATGTCTCTCTCTCCAGTGATACTTTATCCACACGTCATTACGCATTGTCTGCACCTAAAAGACCCTACACGTCCCAGTCTATCAAAGGTTCACATAGACACGAATTGTCCTATTTCCGTCTCTTATTTCCTTGCAAACGTGATCTTGATCTTATGATCAGGAGATATTTGGTGATCTGCCAACGTCTCTTTAGCAGCCATCGCCTGTGGTTCCGTATCATATTCCACAAATGCTATGTCTTTCTTTGTGGGGATCATACGAACTTCTTTGAAACCAGGATATCTACGGAAGAGTTGATGAGGTGACGGTTGGATACCAATTGATTAGCGAAATTAAAAAGATATTGTTACGTACTGTTGGAATAAAGCAGTAAGTGATTGCTCTGTAACGTCCGCAGGAAGATTCTGTACGAATAAAATTTTATTTGGTGGGAGAAACTCATCGGACGTAGCTCCTGGCACTTGTCCACCAAAGTAGAGTCCCCCTTAAATATCAAAGAAAATAGAGAATGAGCCGTTGGCCATTAAAATCAATGATCACTAGGCATAATTAAGATACCTGCTCCTCCCATACCGGATGACATTGTGGGATAACCCTGTGGATGTGAATGCTTCATCTTCTTTTGAGGTGGCTCTTTTGCTCGTTTCTCTACGATTATAATATCAGACTTTAATTATAAACGAAATCATCCCTCAAACACTCAGATCTCCCCATCCAAATACCTTTAGCTTCCATCCTTTGTTTCTTATGTTCTTCATAAGTGCCATCAACTTTAGCTATTGCATCCGACTTTGATCTTGCGTATTGAATTACCTAATAATATACCACATCATATAATAGGGTGTGATTAGACTTGAACCAGCCAAGACTTTTCAATTGAATAAAAAACTATAGCAAAACAACCGACCACTGGCTTGTCTTCTAACGTAACACCTTGCTTTGCCATATGAGCCTTTACGGCACCTTCTTGATCTTTAAAAACTACAAAGGCTTGTCCTCGCATTCTTAAATTACTATGAGCTACGATATCTAATATCTCTCCGTATTGTTCAAACATACTGCGTAAAGCACTCTTAAGCGCTGAGGACAAAATATAGTTTATCAGATCAATGAGTATAAAATTAAAAAATATATATATCAGATAGTCAAAATACCTGGTATTTTTATCTTTTCGTTTAAATTATTGAGGTAAAGCGTGTTACTGGGAGTGGTGCAGGGTAACTGTTTGGGTATTGGCGGTGCTAACTGAGTTGGAGGAGCTGATGTTATCCCAGGTTGTTGCATGTAAGCGGGGCCGCCGAATACGGGCGGTGGTGCGTTCGCCATAACGAGTTGAGAGATATTCGTGAAAAGTAAAAGTAATAGAAGTCCAAGCAATAGTAATAGTCTAAAATTTTGTAGAACGCCACACGACTAATTACCGGGGGTCAAATCTATGAGTGGCTCGACACTAAATTTTACAGAAAACGCGGAAAAATAAAAGTAATTTATTCATTTGTATAATGCACGAAAGCAATTAGTGCACGATGGTTTATTAAACTGTTTATTTTTATGTTTAAACATTAATATGAATAGGACATGCTTATGTATTAATTACGATTGTCTTCCTGGTACAGCGACCGGTATATTTCCTTTACCCTTCCATCAATATTGCAAGAAAATGACAATGCTCTGGCAAACTAATAGATATAGATTTTATTAATATGATATCCATTCACCCTTCTTTCAATAAACGTTGTTTCATTGAATCTACCAAACTAATTAGAAGGCTATCCGAGATTCTTTGGTTTATGTTTTTCTTGACAACTGCCCAGAGGTTTTCCGCAATAGTATGATTGTATTATTATAAATATCATTAGCGTCTTCATTTACCCTCTCCTTTTCTTTGTTAATTAGTTCCTTATGATCGTTTCCGTGGATTGGTTTTTATTCGGTAAAAGTTCTTCAGTGTAGAGGCAATAACGCCTTTTCCCTCGGGTTTGAGGGGCCACTTGGTTAAACGAAATGTCTGAGCGAGCCCAGCTCAGACTTTATATGGACATCGTCAGAGTGGAAAAACAACAGCCATTTATGCTACAGCACAATGGCTCGCACATCACTCGACAGAGATCGAAATTGGGGGCTTTGGTCATGGTCTACAGATCTATGTGATATCCTTTAATGGTGGCATTCAGTTAGAACGTGGAGTTGATGAGTTCTGGCGGACTATATGTCACAAATTGAAAGTCTTGGACAAAGATCGGTTCCCTTTCAATGAGAGTGAGCCAGTATCAGCAACCACATTTGAAACCTTCTTTCGGCGAAAGCAGGAATCGCTACCTGTAGTTCTTGTATTTGATGAGGGTTCAGCTCTGCTTAACCATGACAGAAAAATCATTGAAGACTTTATGGGTGTGCTGCATCTTCTGAAAGATGGCCGTGACCAATTCTGTCTACACTCCTTTGCACTCGTAGGTGTTGAAACCATCAAGAAGCTCCTAACTCCACAACCCAAATCCAAAAACAAGATTTCTCCATTTACCGCAGAGGCAACTGTCGAGCCAGACCACTTCATCGAAGCAGATATCAAAATGCTCTTTGATGATTATGCTAGAGAATCCTCAGTTGAACTTGAGTCAGCTGATATTGCCAAAGATATTTTTGAACGTACTCTCGGACATAAGGGTCTCACTGGCACCTGCTGCTCTATACTTGAGACAATGTGTGCTATGAAAAACATGGCCACAGTATCACTTGATGACTGGAAATGTGCTACTGTTACTCTAACTGATGTTATGGCACAATGGGATACGTATGCTTCCATTATTCGATCTCTGAAGAACCTCTCTTCAGAGCAACAAAACATTATTGGAAATATTCTTTGCTACAGATCGCATAAGCTTGTTGAGGTGAGTCCATTGGCTGGCTCAGCTGTTGTTATATTCTGGTACATTACTTACTATTCAATTTGATGCAGGATGAGAATGTCTCATTTCTACTTGCTGAAGGAATGATTTTCATTACTTCTCGTGATGGCAATGCTGTGGTAATGGAATGCACTGCACCAGTACTTCGTGACATCATGATATCTCACATAAATGGACCTACATTCAAGGTGGAACAACCACCAAATACAGACAGACTTGATGTGCAATGGCTGTTGGATCATGCTATTAAGGTAGGATGATGAAAATACAAACAATTATGAGAAACACTTTGTACTAAATCTTATTCTATGCAGAACATGGCCATTCAGCATGTCTTTGCTGACCAGGCTGCTAATTCTAATGGACAACCATCTGAATATACATTCCAAATGGAATTTGTTGTCATCATCCATTGTCTGCTTGCTGTTGCATACCCATGGCTGTTCTATTGTGTTATATCAGAGGCCAAAGAGCACGAATGTGGTAATCGACATCGGCATCTGGATATTCTTCTAAGGGATGGCAGCTCTCTGCCTCGTTATGGCTTTGAACTTGTTGTTGAAGCAACCCACAGTGTCTTTGATGAATACTGCATGCAGACGCGCAGACTACTACAGGAAGCTCCATGACTGCTCTATGCTTGTGGTCAACCTTTGTGCTCAAAACATTCTTTCTGGATATTTTGGACCAACCTTGCCGGGTGTGACTCCTGTGCATGTCATTTATGATGTCCAAAAAGGGTTGGCAGAGCTAGTATTTAGGGATAGCAGAAAATCTGTATCAATTGAGGGGTCTGCATGGCAAGTGATGTTTAGTTAGTTTCATGATGGTATTAACTGATCTCGTTAGGTCTATCATACTAAGCATTTGATATGAACAATGTTAGTGGTTGTCTAGCTTTTATTGGTAAAAAAAAAAGATTAGTGAAAAGATACTTTGTAACATAATTGTGTTAAGAAAAAAAATAAAGTAATAAAACATATATATACGACGTATATAGGACTACCTGTATATGACAAATAGCGAATACAACGGTTCCACCGAATATGAAAAAGCAATACGTTTCTTAGAGATAGGTTGCAATTGTGGTTGCTCGAAAATGATTCTGAGAGAAAAGTTTGCTGAATTACGTGAAGCATTTCAAGCTCTCTCTAGATCTGAACAAGATATATTTTTAATGGCTCAACTGAAAGCAATGAATGGTGGGGAGATAACTGCCAGTCGACGTCTTAAAAAGAA